CCTAGATCCCTTTCACACGTAGAAGTCTCCTTAAGACAGATGTCCCCCATCATATATCTGTGCCTTTCATTTCTCCCTCTTGTAAGATGTGTATCCTCCATTTCCATTCCATGGTGAGAAACGCTGAAGACCAAGAGCATCTCAGATAAGAATACCAGCCAAGATAGCAAGGCCAGAAATGGGTTCCTCTGCATCCCAGCCCCAAGTTATCGACTCTAATCCTCCTCCTGGGAGTGGATTTGGGTGGAATTCCCGCTCAGAGAGAGGGATGCCAAGGGATTTCCTGGTTGCTCCAGCATCTCCACCAGAAGAAAGCTGCATTCGCGCTCCCATTGCTCTTGGGAACAAGAGGGTAGCCATTATGCGCCATTTCCCAAGAAGTAAGAGAGCCAGTGTGGCGCAGTGGTTTGAGCATTGGATTAAGACCCTAGAAGCCAGGGTTCGAATTCCAGCTTGGCCATGGAAACCCCCTGGGCGACTTTGGGCAAGTGACCATCTCTCAGCCTCAGAGGGTGCCAACGGCAAAATCCTCTTTGAAGAAACGTGCCAAGAAAACCCCCAAACAGCCTTAGGGTTGCCATAGGTCAGAAATGACTGGAAGACACACAGCAACAATGACAACAACAACAACAACAAGGTGCTTGGAATGAAATGGAGCTGATGCATGAGGATAGCAATTACATTGGCAGCTTGAGTTTTGCTTAAGGATTGGGCCCCGATCCTTTGTCTTCTCATAGAAGCACTGCAGTTGGTTTTAAGGATGAGAAAGCAAGATGGAAGAAAGGGTTTGATGAAGGCTGCTCCAGGGGTATTCTTGGGCAGTGGAAGAAAGATGTGTCTTTTGTGTCTTGTGTGGAAAAGAGCATCTTCAGACTGTCAGGCATGCATTGATTGAGAGTTCCTGCATGGCAGAAGGGGGGGGTTGGACTGGATGGCCCTTGGGGTCTCTTCCAACTCTAGGATTCTATGAGTCTACAATTCTACAATTTTAGCCTGGAGAAGAGATGGTTAAGAGGTTAAGTATTGAAAGGGGTGTCACACTGAGGATGGAGGAAGCTTGTTTTCTGCTGCTCCAGAGATTAGGACCTGGAACAATGGGTGCAAGCTCCAGGAAAAGGGATTCCACCTCAACATTAGGAGGAACTTCCTGACCGTAAGAGGTTGTTCGACAGTGGAACACACTCCCTCAATGGAGATTTTGGTGAACTCTCCTTCTTTGGAGGCCTTTAAACAGGGGCTGGAAGGGCATCTGTCTCAGGGGGTGCTTTGATTTTGAGTTCCTGCATGGCAGAATGGGGTTGGACTGGAAGGCCCTTGGGGTCTAGGATGCTACAATTCTACAATTCTAGCTTGGAGAAGAGAGGGTTGAGAGGTGATATGATAGTCCTGTTTAAGTATTTAAAGGGATGCTATATTGAGGAGGGAGCAAGCTTGTTTTCTGCTGCTCCAGAGAATAGGATTCAGAGCAATGGATGCAAGCTCCAGGAAAAGAGATTCCACCTCAACATTAGGAGGAACTTCCTGACAGTAAGGGCGATTCTAGAGTGGAAGACACTCCCTTGGAGAGTAGTGGAGTCTCCTTCCTTGGAGGTCTTTAAGCAGAGGCTGGATGGCCATCTGTTGGGGATGCTTTGATTGGGAGTTCCTGCATGGCAGAATGGGGTTGGACTGGATGGCCCTTGGGGTCTCTTCCAACTTTAGGATTCTATTATTCTACAATTCTACAATTTTAGCCTGGAGAAGAGATGGTTAAGAGATTAAGTATTTAAAGGCGTGTCACACTGAGGATGGAGCAAGCTTGTTTTCTGTTGCTCCAGAGAATAGGACTCAATGGAGCAATGGATGCAAGTTCCAGGAAAAGAGATTCCTCTTCCTAAACATTAGGAGGAACTTCTTGACAGTAAGAGAGAGCTGTTTGACAATGGAAGATGCTGCCTTG